ACGTCAGGTCCAACCTCCAGTGGGTTATTTGTGATTTGTCGCAATATCGTATCCCAGCTATACTTCTTTCACCATCTGCATTTTCTTCTATAGCATTAGAGAAATGGTTACAATAACATTGATAAGAACTTGAATCTTTTCGCTCATTTATTCATGCATCCGTGTTTGTTCATTTATTAATTATTTATTTGAGTTAGGGCACTAGGCAATGCACAAACCTGTACAGAGGAAATCAATTTTCCCCTTAAGTAACCTACAGCCATTTAGTTAGTGGTATAAACCATTAACATCTAATCAGAATGACTGTGCTTGGAATATTCTGTGAAATCCCAATAAATAAAACTAATCAGAAATAAAATATCTTATAATATCACTTTTATGTGGAATCTAGAAAAAAACGACACAAATGAACTTATTTACAAAACAGAAATAGACTCACAGACAGAGAAAACAAACATGGTTGCAGAAGGGAAAGCGGGGGAGGGATAAACTGGGAATTTGGGATTAACAGATACACACTACTATATATAAAATAGACAAACAACGAGGACCTACTGTAAAGCACAGGGAACTATATTCAATACCTTGTAATAACCTATAATGGAAAAGAATCTGAAGAATATATATATGTATATATATATATGTTTATACATATATATAAAACTGAATCACTTTGCCGTATACCTGAGACATTGTAAATCAACTATACTCCATTAAAAATGAAATAAATGGTCTAGGAAGAGTATTTTGTGAGAAAAATTCAGTTTCTGTACTAAGAGACTGATGTCTTTAGCCATATTCATATATAGTTTCAGTCTTCAAACTATAGATGTGGTCTCACACCTCGTCTCTTCATCTTTACCAAGACCTTCCTTTGAAATTACCTGGCATTCTTCCTTCTGTTGTGAACAGAAGCTCCCTGTTGAAGCTTAGATCAAACACTTTTATCTCAAGTCACTGCGTAAACATCTGCTAAATACGTGCTATGAACTAAACACTCTGAGTCTATTTTAGCCGAAACTGTCTGGGATTATGAATTATATGGATACAGACTTTAATTTCCTATTTCATTTTTGGTTGTGCTTTAACCCATAAACTATGCCTTTTCATTTGTCATCTGGGCTTTACTAAGATGGATGAACTACATAGCCACTTTTCAAAATAAGGAATCTAACAGAAAATCAAACAGTCATTTCATAGCAAGAAATAGGATCCATTTTTGATTTGGTTCTTTTCATGGGCTCAAAAAAGGCTCATGCCTTAAAGGTTTTTGAACTGCTGGCAAATTTTTTTTTTTTTTTTTTTTTGCGGTACGCGGGCCTCTCACTGTTGTGGCTTCTCCCGTCATGGAGCACAGGCTCCGGACGCGCAGGCTCAGCGGCCATGGCTCACGGGCCCAGCCGCTCCGCGGCATGTGGGATCTTCCGGGACCGGGGCACGAACCTGTGTCCCCTGCATCAGCAGGCGGACTCTCAGTCACTGCGCCACCAGGGAAGCCCTGCTAGCAAAATTTTATGAGGCCTTCCAATATACTTGACTTAGACCACTAATGGTGATATGCCTGATGGTAACTGGTCACAATTTTCATATGGCGAAAATCAAAAGTTTATCTTGGTAACGATTAAATGACCTTTAAGGTTTTTTTCTTTTAAGGTTCTTATATCCCTAAATTACTAGGATTCTAAATCTGAGTTCTCCGACATGGTAGCCGCTGGCCACACGTGCTTCTGAGTACTTGAAATGGGGCTAGTCTAAACTGAGATGTGATCTCAGTTTAGATAAACTCAGATAAACTGAGATGTGATAAAATACACACCAGGTTTTGAAGAGTTACTATAAAAAAAGAATAAAATATTTTGGATATATTGGGTTAAATAAAAATATCATTGGGCTTGCCTGGTGGCGCAGTGGTTGAGAGTCCGCCTGCCGATGCAGGGGACACGGGTTCGTGCCCCGGTCCGGGAAGATCCCACATGCCGCGGAGCGGCTGGACCCGTGAACCATGGCCCCTGAGCCCGCATGTCCGGAGCCTGTGCTCCGCAATGAGAGAGGCCACAACAGTGAGGGGCCCGCGTACAGAAAAAAAAAAAAAAAAAATCATTAAAATGAACTTTACCAACTTATTATTTTTATGTTAGTGTGGCTATTGAGAATTTACAATTACTTTTGTGGCTTGCATTATATTAATACTAGACAGTACCACTCTAGACCTTCAAAACAAATGGATCAAAATCGCTCTTTAAGGACTTTTTAATGTTTATGGCCAATGTTTCAATACTGAGGTCCTTATGCCTCTAAAAGTCAAGTTAAAACTCATACCTACCAAAAACTAATAAACCCTACATGGGTGGATATTTACCACCAAGTTCCTCTCGAAATTACTCTCTGTCGAGGTCCTGTGAAAGTTCTATGGTTACAATACTGAATGTTCATCCCCATGGTTACTGTCTCAACTGTATCAAAAGATTATCAGCAAAGGAGGCAAGAATATACAATGGAGAAAAGACAGCCTCTTCAATAAGTGGTGCTGGGAAAACTGGACAGGTACATGTAAAAGAAGGAAATTAGAACACTCCCTAATACCATGCACAAAAATGAACTCAAAATGGATTAAAGACCTAAATGTAAGGCCAGACACTATAAAACTCTTAGAGGAAAACCTAGGCAGAACACTCTATGACATGAATCACAGCAAGATCCTTTCTGACCCACCTCCTAGAGAACTGGAAATAAAAACAAAAATGAACAAATGGGACCTAATGAAACTTAAAGGCTTCTGCACAGCAAAGGAAACCATAAACAAGACGAAAAGACAACCCTCAGAATGGGAAAAAATATTTGCAAATGAAGCAGACAAAGGATTAATCTCCAAAATTTACAAGCAGCTCATGCAGCTCAATATCAAAAAACAAACAACCCAATCCAAAAATGGGCAGAAGACCTAAATAGACATTTCTCCAAAGAAGACATACAGATTGCCAACAAACACATGAAAGGATGCTCAACATCACTAATCATTAGAGAAATGCAAATCAAAACTACAATGAGGTATCACCTCACACCAGTCAGAATGGCCATCATCAAAAAATCTACAAACAATAAATACTGGAGAGGTTGTGGAGAAAAGGGAACCCTCCTGCACTGTTGGTGGAGAACAGTATGGAGGTTCCTTAAAAAACTACAAATAGAACTACCATACGACCCAGCAATCCCACTACTGGGCGTATACCCTGAGGAAACCATAATTCAGAAAGAGTCATGTACCACAATATTTATTGCAGCTCTATTTACGGTAGCCAGGACATGGAAGCAACCTAAGTGTCCATCGACAGATGAATGGATAAAGAAGATGTGGCACATATATACAATGGAATATTACCCAGCCATAAAAAGAAACGAAACTGAGTTATTTGTAGTGAGGTGGATGGACCTAGAGTCTGTCATACAGAGTGAAGTAAGTCAGAAAGAGAAAAACAAATACCGTACGCTAACACATATATATGGAATCTAAAAAAAAGAAAAAGAAAAAAAGTCTCTGAAGAACGCAGGGGCAGGACAGGAATAAAGACGCAGATGTAGAGAATGGACTTGAGGACATGGGGGGGGAAGGGTAAGCTGGGACGAGGTGAGAGAGTGGCATGGACATATATACACCACCAAATGTAAAATAGCTAGCTAGTGAGAAGCAGCCACATAGCACAGGGAGATCAGCTCAGTGCTTTGTGACCACCTAGAGGGTGGGATAGGGAGGGTGGGAGGGAGACGCAGAGGGAGGGGATATGGGGACATATGTATACATAAAGCTGATTCATTTTGTTATAAAGCAGAAAGTATCACACCACTGTAAAGCAATTATACACCAATAAAAATGTCAAATTAAAAAAAAAAGATTATCAGCAAATACACCAAAATGTTAAGAGTGATTATTTCTGGGTAGTGGGGTACTAAGTGATTTTTGCATTCTTTTTTTACTCTCTTCTTCATTTCTCAGTCTTTCAACGACAAGCACTGTTATGTTTCTTCATTCAGAAAAATGCATCTTTAAATTTCAGTGTGAATGATTTTCTGAACTGCATAAACATCACGAATATGTAAAAAAGAGACCAACTTAAAAGGGAATATCCCAACATGCTTTCATCTGCTCTGCTCCATTTCCAAATTTTCTATGGTGAATAGGTCACTTCCATCAAGGGAAAAAAACACACCTCCTTTAAAACCTGAAATATTCATCCACCCTTTTAACCTTAAACCTAAGTTAATTTGCATGCTGATTTTTTTAGAACTCCTTTTATCTCTGCCGTATTCGACGGTAGAGCAAATACTTTAGGTTTGAGCTTCAACCGTATGCTAACGTAGCTATTTTAATATTTTTATAACTACCCTCAACCAGAACAGCATTTAGTTTGAGTCTATGCAGGAGATGCGGAAGAAACCCTAAAGATATTTTAATACCTCACTATACGTAGGGGTTTAGGTTGTACTGCAAGGATGCCCATCTAAAGGGGTTCCAATGCATCTGAGTCCTGCAGCAACGGGTTTGGGGGAGAACCCTCCTGCATGCTGTCCAGACCAGCTCAGACAGCCACCTGCACACTCGGGAGGGCTCAAGCCTGTGTACACACACACACACACACACACACACACACACACACATGAGTGGGTTGTGCCCTATCCAGTCGGCAGTGGCTCTTCTCACCTGTCTTCCACTTTCAGAGGCCAGCACCACCACCTGGCCTGTTTTTTGGGTACCATGGGGGATGTGCAGTGCAGTGGCATCGGCATGTATAGGTGGGTGACACACACAGCTAGCACTGTTGTCTGCCCTGCTGGCTCTGGAGTAAGCTGGGCTTCTCAAGGCCCATCAGATATGATTGTTCAGCCTAGCAACGCTCTATTCATTTAATTTTTCTTTCTTCTTGAGGAAAAGGGCCTTTTTCCAATTCCCACGAGGCAACAGCCTTTTGGAATATGGCACTGGCATGTGGCGCAGCAGAACTTACTGTTGGTGGTGAAGATGATTTCTCCCTCCTGCGGGGTGGGATCTGTATCCTGGACCACCTGCAAGGCTCCCACGGTCCGGACAGCAGGGTCCAAAGTGACTGAGCTTTCATTTACGGTTGTGTCGCTTGCGCCGGTGATCTGGTTGGTTGACGGACCTCCCAGAGATCCCTCGAAGTCAGTGGGCAAGTCGTCCATGCAGTCGGCATTGGGCTGACAGGAGCAGAAAAGGACCTATCTTAGTGTATATCATCAAGTTAGAGATGAGATGTCTACAGCCTAAATCTTTTGTCCTGAGGGAAAACCAAGTTCTTTACTGTTTTCTTCCTGAACCACTTTATTTAAAGACATTCCACATATAGTTCCTGTAATTAACATGAAAACATCTTCCAAAATTTCCTTTCCAAAGGTTCCGTTTAGATCTACAGACAAGGTTTTAATTCCTGGGGTAGCAGTAGCCATACATTAATATAATTACATAGGGAGAATAATATGATACTTATTTATAATGACAGCTCCTCCTTATCTATAGTGTTTACTTTTTGTATAGGAAGTAGCTGACAGCCTGATAATTAGCCCCAAAGACCCATGTGTTGTTTACAGATAGACTGATGGCATGAGAGGGGAGACAGAATCTGACTCGTGAATTGTGCATCAGAGATACACACATATACATAAACAAACGCACACACAAACACAAGAGCACAGGGTGAGGTGCTGTTAAACATAAGCCAAAAAACCAGCTGCAGAGCAAAGCCCTATTTACATAACATTCAACTGATCGTACATTTGTCAAATCTTCTAAGTTAAAATCTTAGAATCATAAAACTAGGGTGAGACCATCTACTTTAATTACCCACTCACTACAGGACTCTCCCTCCCAATATTCCTCACAGCTCCACTTGAAAAACGTAGACACCGGGGTCTCTGTGCCTCGCAAGGCAGCCTGTGTCGGCCAGCTTCTCTTAGCTGGCAGCGGGGCAGTTTTACTCTTTGGTCTCAGTTCTGCTGGCTGAAGTGGTGTTGAATATATTGATATCTCTTCCACAAACAGCTTGTAAAAAATGATTTTCAGTTGTTCTGCCTCTGACCAAACTCATAAAAATTATTTTTTAAAGGTGGTGGAGGAGAGATACGGTCTTGAGAAGCACTAAGAATGGCTGTTAATCACACTTTTTGCTCCACGCTGGAGAGTGACATTGCCTTGAGCGACGACAATGACACGGTTTTGCACCCCGTCCAAGGATGCAGATCAGGGTGGGCAGGCTTGGGTGAGGAGAATCCTAGGTTGACACGGTTTGAATTAACACCACAATGACTAGACTGTGTGCAAAGTTCATTGAAAGAGAAAATCTTCCACTCACGGGCTCATGGGGAGCACAAGGCAAGAAATCCAAACTGCTGGACTCCTGTCCTGGATTTCCACTCTCAAACCAAGTCTCCCAAGCCCAACGCCTGTGTTTCCAACAGTCAGCTGGAAATCTCCATCATCCCACAAAAACCTCAAATTCAGTTCATTCCCTTTCCCCCACATTCTCTTTGTGTTCTGCCATCTTCATCTCTTTTGGCAGTGGGCCAATTCCTTGAAATTCGAGTTGTTGAAAGTCAACTCACTGAATGACTGATCCTCCAAGTTTCCTGACTGAGATTATTGGACATAAGCGGGTATGTTCTGAACGTTTCTTACCCCATTACCAATTCCCAATCTCCCTCTAGTTTCTTCCCCAGTATACTTCATTCTCCACTTTTTCACCAGAGCACTCTTTTTGTTTTTTTTTTTTAAAAAAAGCACAGGTATGATTCTTTTTCTTTCTTTCCTCCTAAAGAATGAATTACAAGCTTCTTAGTATAGCAAAACAGGCACCGTACAGTCTGACCCAAGCCTTCTTTTCTGGCCCTACCTTCAGCCTTTGGAAACACACAGAATAAACCATATATTCCCCATTTCAGCACCTTAGCATATGCTGCTCTTCCACTCGGGATGACAGTTGCCCAAATCATCATCCCCTTCCCCTCTCCCATCCCAAGGTCTCAAACTAACCCTGGTGAACTCCTGATCATCCCTCAATTCCCAGGCCAAATGTCTCTTTTCTAAGCAGCGCTCCCTCCCAGTAGTCATCTTTGATACTGTAACTCTTTTCACACTTCTCCCACTGTTACAGTCATTTGTTACTGTGTTAGTTTCACTCTACTAGTCTGCAAGCTTTTTTTTTTAAATTCTGGTTTTACTGAGATATAATTGCCATGGCATATTGTATTAGTTTAAGTTGTACAACATGATGATTTGATATGTGTGTATGTTGCAAAACCATCACCACAGTAAGTTTAGTTAACATCCATCACCTCACATGATTACCAAATTTTTATTCTTGTGATGAGAACTTTTAAGATCTACTCTCTTAGCAACTTTCAAATATACAGTACAGTACTGTGTATTGTATTAGAGTCACCATGCGGTGCATTACATCCCCGGGACTTACTTATTTCGTAACTGGAAGTTTGTACCCTCTGACCCCCTCACCCATTTCACCCTCCCCACCTCCTGCCCCTGGCAACCACAAATCTCTTCTCTGTTTCTTTTCCACGTAGACTCCACATACAAGTGAGACACAAGCTTTTTAAAGTGAAGCAACTACACTATATTGACCTTGAGTTCCAAGCCCTCACATAGTGCCTGACAATTATTAAGTGCTCAGTAAATGTTGATTTGGAAATTTTATCTAAGTCTCAGTTTACTGCTCTGAAAACCTGGGAATGTTAGTATCTGCCCAGATCCGAGATCAGTGAAGGGAAGATTTGAGAAAATACTTTTAAAAATTCAATTTCTGGGCAAAGGTAAAGTACACCTTTGAAGGGTAGCAGAGTATGCCACTGCTCAAATTTGCTATGTTGGCATAAAAATTGTTTTTAGCTGAAACAGTTGAGAACTGGGTAAAGAAATGCTCTCTACCTTTCCCCTATTTGCCTAAAAGCAAGACATAAATTTGTAAGGGGGTCCCCCTCTCTGTACCAGAAAGAGAAGAACATTCTTACCACCAGCAACTGGGAGTTGACGCCAAAATGGAACGTACAACAAACCTAACTGACATGCCCTTACCTGCCATTGGTTTCCCCCATATATTCACCTCCCCACAATTTGCTGTCCTAGAAACTCAAAGTTCTTTCCCTTTGTCTTGTCGCTTCTCTAAAAATTTATTGCTCTTTTTTGAAGATGCTATAGAAGCCGAAGTCCTAACCACCCCTCTGAGTCACTCATCGCCAAGTGCTCCTATGTGCACACACGATGCATGTGTTCATAAACCTCTGTTTGATTTTCTCTTGCTAATCTGTCTTTTACAAGTCTAATTTACAGGGCCCAGCTGGAGAACCGAGGAGGGTAGAAGAAAAAATAACTTCTTTCCCTCCACTATACTATGTAAAGATGCAGATCCAAACTGTGTGCGGGTATCAGGGAGGAAAAGAGGTCCAAGTGAGGATCCTGTGCTGGCTGTTCTTTCAGCCATAAGCATCTGAATGTGACCACAGATGCGAGAACAACTGACACATTTTTCACAATGTTGACTTTGCTTGTCGATCATGTTCTTGTTTTCTCTCTTTTCTCTTTTTATAACATTATTTTATTAGTTTTGATGCAGGGTGTTCGCTTTTACTTTGTGGGCTAGCAGGAATAGTGTTATGTCTCTAACAGAGGTGAGTAGAGGAAAAGAGAAAGCGAATTAGCTCAGTGAGACTTGTTAATGAGAGAATGAATGAACAATTTGGCTTAGATACAATATTTAACAGACCCACCTTACAGAACCTCACAGTTTATATCCACTCGAAATGGTTCATCAAATAGAATAATATTTTGAATAGAAACCCAATTTATATACCTCTGAGAGAAATTACAGTCATAATGTTTAGTAAGAGATGTCAAATACCATCTGTAAGTGAACAGCATATAGGTTTTCAAATTCAGGTTAGCAGGGAGAACTCAAATAAACCAGATGCGAGATAGTTAGGGACTAGTGAATATACCAGCTGCACGGGATTTTCTATTCGTTTACAATCATCTTACTTATACCAGGATAATAGTGATAGGAGATGGTGTGTGCTGGGATAAAAAAGGCCCGTGTTATATGGTACCTTATAGGAGCACTCAATGATGTGATCTGTCATCCTGCAAAGACACCCCCTAGACCTGACTGGAGAGAAAGGAGGATGAAGCACTTGAATGTAGATAAGGGGATTGAAAACACTCTGACAGTAAAGGACCTGCTCCTGTCAGGTTCAGTCTTTTATTTCTCTTGGCAAAATATAATGGGAGAAGGTACCACTGTAATAGGAATTTCACCATCCGTGAGCCGTGCTCTCATTCTTTAGTTCATTTTAGAGAAATCCACTTACAAAATGAAAATGTCCCCAGCTCTTAGCTTTCCACTTATATTTACTTGCCTTACAGCACAGGCAGGCACAAGGCTACTCAGTTAACAACCACAAAACAAAGGCTAAAATCAGACACCTGTAAGAACAAGTTAGAGCCAGAAAATGTGGAACACGCAAACAGTGAGTTTAATTTTCTAAGTCCCTAGTATCTGATAGAGATGTTGGGTTTTTACTCAGGTTTCATGTTCACTGTCAGTGATTTTCACCTTGAATGTATTATGCCTTCACAACTCTGGTCTGAAAATTTAATGCATTGCCTTTCAAAATCTAGCTCAAAGCTATAGTCGCACAAATTGATTTGTGTTTGGTGTATCGACTGTTAAAAAAAAAAAACAAAAAACCCAGCATACAGCCGGCAGGGAGGCAGGGGAGGCAGGGTAGAAAATTCAGCCAATCCATGACCTTGTGATGCTTCAGGTGTGTGCCCTCAAACAGAGTCACTCTGATCTTCCTGGGATAATTAGCCCTTTGGCATTAAAGGAAGCCTTTGATATCTGATCTGATCCTTTCTTCTTCAGTGACATCTTGGGACTTTAAACATTCTGTTTATTCTCTGCCATTAGTAGTGAGGAATGACAAGAGGAGGAGACAGCAAAGCGGAGGGGGAAGGGGGAGGCCGGTCTCTGTATGCTGTTTGTCTAGCTTCTTTTAGACGGCGCCAGGTTGTTCTCACATCTCTGTGCAGCCCTCGGGTCTGGTGGCCTGGCTTGCTTCCTGCCCTCACCACAGCAGATGGTGTCTCAGCAGCCCGTGGCCTTCACTCGATATGGTCCCTGGAAAGTCTTTCCCTGGAGCATCAAGCCAGCCAGCTGGGGGGATTCTCTTTGCACAGGGGGAATGACTAAGTTTGATAAAACATATAACTGAGGGCGCCAGCTTGAGGGTAGCGCTAGAATTCAGTGGTTCTGGCTCTGGCTTCCTCGTCACTCAAGCTCGCCATGGAGATCTGAGCTCAGCAGAGGGCCCTGAGCCAGATTCCCAGTGGCTGGCCTCCCCTCCCATCGTTGGGAAGAGCTTGTTTCCTCTGGAAGCTAGGAGATGGTGGGGCAACATCAGAAGGTGTGGCGTGCGGGTCTACGTGATGACAGCGCAGGTAAATGACACAAGAGTGTCATCAGTGTACAACTGGCCCAAGAGGCCTCTGTGGGTGTCCAACCTGCTCTCACCCACTGCAGCCTGGAAGAGAAGCCTATGAGCCGCTCAGGCAGCATCTCAACTCACAGACAAATACAATGGACATGTTGAGAGGGTCACGATGTTCTCAGATTGAGAAAAAGTGAGAGGAGAAATATATCCAGACACGGGAGCGCTCTTAGGGCCTCCCCAGGTGACGCCACTGCTATGGGATTGAGGGGACACAGAAAATCCAGGGATGTTGTTTTCTCCCTGCTTTGTGGGAAAGGCAGAAAGACAGACATGACGATGCTGTAGGCTGTGCTGTGCTTACCGGGATCCCTAGGGCTTTAAGAATGTTCATCTTGCACATGGGACAGGTGCGATGGTCTAGGAGCCAGGGGTCAACACAGGATTTGTGGAAAAGATGCCTGCAATGAGAACCATACATCTTAGCGCGGCGGTAACTGCGGAGAGCACCTAGTCCACTCCAGCCCAGAGACTTGTCCAAGGTCACGCACTGCTCGGTGGCAGAGCCAAGACTCGGACCTCCATCTCCGAACACCTGGGCCAGTAATGCTTCCTCTTACACCCTGCGGTGATACAGTCAACATCTGTCTGGCTCCCAGCAGGGTCCTCTATGATTTGCAGCTGAGTCTTCCAAGTTTCAGAAAATGCAGAGAATGTAGAAACAGAGAAATTTCTCTCTTTCTAGATGGAAGAATCTTGAATGGAAAGAAGCCAAGTGGGGAAATTTGCACAGACCTTGCAGGATAACCTGAGAGTTGCTACTTTTAAATCAATCCAAAATTTCTTTTCCTACAGTCAGAAGAAAACTGCAAAATAAAGCCTCATTTCTGTAGATATTTGGGGGTCTCACACAAAAGGGCAGAAGAGCTCCTGCAAGCATTTCACAGCACAAGTGATGTTTTAAGTTCCTATGGCTGGTGGCTCTCACATCAGAAGCCAGAGTGACAGGTACCGTAAGCTTTACTGTTTGTACAGCTGATGCGCTCAACTCCGTCGCCAGCCTCACGCTCCAGCCCTCTGGAGCCAGCCTTCCTCTGAGTGATAGGATAAGGGGGGCATTTAGAAGGTGCGGGGGTGGGGAGTCCTGACTAAACTTCCTCTCAACGTGGCTCACAAGAGCCCACTCAGAGATCTCAGGGGCTGCTCGAATCAGAAGCTTGTCTTCTCACGCACACGACTCCAGACCATGGGCAGAAGCAGTCAGAATTTCCTGCCTGGGGCAAGAAGAGGGAGAACCATCTGTCAAGTATGAGGGCATCCTTAGGACACGCCATCCATGCTGCACTATTCCCGGAACGCTTGCACTCTCTTCTCTCACTCTCATCTTTTATTGTGCTAACAGCAGTTCTACCAGCTGTCTTTGCATTAGAAGGCTTGAGGCTCCAACGCGTACAAAGGACCCCTCAAATCAGAGAAGAGCTCAAGAAGTGCCACTTCTTTTTTTTTTTTTTTTTTTTCCTTGCCTTATGCGGGCCTCTCACTGTTGTGGCCTCTCCCATTTGCGGAGCACAGGCTCCGGACGCGCAGGCCCAGCGGCCACGGCTCACGGGCCCAGCCGCTCCGCGGCATGTGGGATCCTCCCGAAACGGGGCACGAACCCGCGTCTCCTGCATCGGCAGGCGGACTCTCAAGCACTGCGCCACCAGGGAAGCCCAAGAAGTGCCACTTCTGAAACGGACATGGAGAAGAATCCATGTCCCAAGGACAGCATCAGCTGTGACAGGACACGATCGCACTGGGGATTAGGAGACGGAGAGGAGCTAGCTGGATGTGTCGTGTGTTTCCAGGTCACTATTTCGAACGCCTTACAGATTTACCGCTTACAAGTAAATATATCACACCCACTCATTCCTTTAGCCGTGCATCCACGTGACAAGGAATATCTGCCAAGAACTGTGCTCCTCACTGGGAATCAGCACGATAGTGATCTGGCTCCTTCTCTTTGGGAGTATAATCGGAGAGGCAGACACTAATAAAACAGAAATCAACTTCACGACAACAGCGCTAAGTACACATTAGCAGAACGTGGAGTTGGTAGGGGGCTTGTAACTGGGAGATGCATCCTAGTTTGGGTACACAGAGAAAGTTTCCCTGATGAGGTGCCGAAGCTCAGACCCCGGAGGGCTACACAGACATTGTCCACAGAAGGGGAAGACAGGCAGAAGAGTCTTCTAGGCAGAATGACTGGCTTGTACAAAAGCCCTGACCTGGGCACAGGAAGGTCAGTCCCAGGGCAGCAGCAGGAGGGAGGGGCTGATGCGGGGTCAAGTGTCCCCCTGCACCTCTACCCCCAAGCAATAATCGACCTCCCTGTGCTCAGGCTCTACGTTCAGAAAACAAGTGCCTAATCTAAATTTTCTCACTCACTGGTGTTCCTTCTGGGAAAAGAAAATCAGACATTCTGGTCCCTTTGACCATTCCTGGGAGGCAGGCTCTTGTGTTTCCTGCACATGTACTGGAAGTCAGAAAGACAGCAGGGCCAATCATTAGCTGTTTTAGCCTAAATAAGTCACTTAACATTCCCACGTCTCCTCTGCCTCATGTGTAAGATGAAGATACATCTATTCCTGTGGAGGAGGCTTCCCTGAGTCTCCCACACACAGAAGCTGGTACCTACTCTTATCCCCTGAGTGACTTCTCTGTCTGCACTGGTCATTCTTACATCTCCTCTGTGATGGTTAGTTTCACGTGGCAACTTGGCTAGACTATAGTACCAGCTCTTCAATCAAACACTAATTTAGGGTAGTCTGCAGATGTGATTCATATCTACAGTCCGTTGACTTTAAATAAAGGAGATTATTCTAAATCATCTGGGTGGGCCTGACCCAATCAGTTGAAGAGCCTTAACAGCAAAACTGGTTTCCCTGAGGAAGAAAAAACTCCGTCTCAAGATGGCAGCATCAGCCCCTGCTCAGCGTTTCCAGCCTGTAGACCTGCCCTACAGATTTCAGGCTTGCCAGCCCCTATCATCACATAAGCTAATTCCTTAAGAATATATAGTGGGATACAGTGGCTGTCTGGAGAACTGACTGGTACATCCTCCAAAGAGAATATAAGTTCTATGAGAGCAAAATCTTCATTTACCTAATTCACTGTTAGATCTCCAGCAACTAGACTAGATCTTGGCACACAGAGGATGCTCCAGAAATATTTGCTACACGAATGGATATTTCTCAAAAGGCCTGGCACTCCTCACTGCCTTGCACATGGCTATCAAGTCCCACGGACTCATTCTTCCTAAATTTCTTCTACCTTCATTGCCTATTTTCTTTTTGCCACGCCGCTCCCTCATTCATGATCTCATTAACTCTTTTTCTGTATTGTTGTACTAACGTCTAAACTGCCCTGCATGCCACCAATCTTTCCCTGTTCTTTTCATCCCACTCATCCTTGCCAGATTTATCTTCCCCCAGAAAAGTGCTAGTTACGTCACCCCCTTGTTCCATTCTGTTCTTCACGAAGAGCTGGGCACCAAGATGAATAAGACAAGGTCCTTTCCTTCAAGGCGGAATCACAGTGATTCAGTGGTTCCTTGGGAACTACAACAGAAAAGGCCATTGAAGAGCCACCCTTTTGGATCCATCGTTTTCTGGCTGTGGGATCTTAGGCAAGGATTAGCTCTCCAAGACTTCATTCCTCATCTGTGAAATTTTGTCTTATAGGTATGGAGTTTGCCAGTGATTGAGTCTGTGTGTGTGTGTGTGAGAGAGAGAGAGGGAATAAATAATGTCCATGAAGCTGAAACTATAAGTCCTGATCATCCTTAATTGTCAGCTATCATTCATCTTATTAATACCACTATTAGATCTTGTTTTTAGATATTAGGTTATCACTCTGATTTCTACTCTAAACTTTCTAATGCTGAAAGCAAGTAACTGTAAATTAAAAAAAAAAAATCAAAGGGAGAACTACGGACAACAAAAACAGTGCTAAAATGATACACCGGGTGATCATGTTGGCTACTGACTAACATTCAATTATTCCTGATACCATATTTCTTGTGTTGACCAAACAGGAAGGCTACTTCCTTATAACTGGGATTGCAAACAAGTTTTTCCCTCCCACATGGAAAGAAAGATAAAAGTCACTAGACTAAATAAATAAAGGAACAGGGAAAGAATCTGGAGTTTAGTGAGAGGCACCAACAGTTCAACAAACATCTCTAGGGCAACGTCTATCTCACTCATTCTATTTGTATGATTCGCAGCAGGGCACTGTCCCTTCCCATGTTTTAACAAAGGCTGCATGAGAAATTACATACAGAGGAGCAACGGGATGAGCCAGTCTATCTCCTAACGATCCTGACAAGCTGGAAATACAACCGAGGGTTGACCAAAACTCTTCTGCTTTCTTATTCACCAAAGGGAAGCATACCTTTTTTTTTTTTTTTTTTTTTTTTTAATGCTGTACGCGGGCCTCTCACTGCTGTGGCCTCTCCCGTCGCGGAGCACAGGCTCCGGACGCGCAGGCTCAGTGGCCATGGCTCATGGGCCCAGCCGCTCCACGGCATGTGGGATCTTCCCGGACCGGGGCACGAACCCATGTCCCCTGCATCGGCAGGCGGACTCTCAACCACTGTGCCACCAGGGAAGCCCAGGAAGCATACCTTTTACAAAGAGTTCTTCAAACCCCTGACAAAAGATGATGCCAACAACTGCATCATAATGCTGAGATGATTATGAATAATATAATAATTTCCCATTTTGGGGGCAGGAATGACAAACCCCTGTTAAACCTGTTTCCACATCTTTGGATTCTTATTTATTTATTTATTTTTAAATTAAATTTTTTTTTTTATTGAAGTATAGTTGATTTACAGCGTTGTGTTAGTTTCAGGTGTCCAGCAAAGTGAATCATTTATACATATACATATATATACATATATCCATTCTTTTTTTAGACTCTTTTTCCCACATAGGTCATCACAGAGTATTGAGTAGAGTTCCCTGTGCTATACAGTAGGTCATTATTAGTTATCTATTTTTTTTTTTTTTTTTTTGGGGTACACGGGCCTCTCACTGTTGTGGCCTCTCCCCGTGCAGGGCACCGGCTCCCGGCGCGCCG